TTACTCATAATTTAATTACTTACCCAAACTTCCTTTCATTTAATTTACCATTTTCAACCTTTCTCCAAACTACCCACCATTTCTTGTCTTCTCATCATCATTTCAAAGCACACTCCTTTTGACATTCATATCATTTTCTAAAGGGATAGGCCTAGCTGAAGAAAATGTGTCATGATTTTGCTCATGTTAAAGTGATTACATTAAATAAGAGGGGAAAGAAGTATATCTTATAAAGATGTCGAAATATCTCTCTACCATACGTGTTTTAAAAAATCGCAAAGCTGATAACGATACGAAATGTGTCAAAACAGATAGTATTTACTAACGGTGCAAATAATATCAAAGTTAAACATCGGCCAGTGTGCCAGAGCAAGGATGTTTGGTCTCCAAGGGGGTGGATTGTAAGATTTCACATCGGTTTGAGAGAAAAATGAAACATTTCTTATAAGGGTGTGAAAACGAGGAAGCGGGCCCCCAAGGGAGTAGATTGTAAGATCTCACATCGATTGGAGAGGAGAATGAAACATTTCTTATAAGAGTGTGAAAACATTTTCGTGATAGCCTTTAAAAACGTTTTTTATAAGGGTGTAAAACTTCTTCCTAATAGCCTTTAGCAATACTATTCGTAGCTATAATTACTTGAATTTTTATATTTAGTAACAAGATTATTTTATTTAATATGTGATTAATAAACGTGGAAGTGGAATATGCATTTTTCTAATGGCCCTTCTTTATACTTATATTATTATTATTATTATTACTATTATTATTATTATTATTACCATGATTTTGTGCTATGATTAAGGAAGAAAGAAATAAAAGAAAAACGCTGCCAAAATGCCACCTTGGAAAAGATATTCATATCACCTTTATATCAATTATAACATTTATTATTTATTTGATCAATTCAATCATTATACTAATTCTAATCATATGATATATTTGAAACATACACAGGACTTACTTTAAAACTTTCTAAATTAAATAATAAAAAATGGATCTAATAACAGGTTTTGTTCATAGAATTTGAACAATATTGAAATAAATGAGTTATGATAAGGGTTGTTCTTATCGCCTGAGAATCCTAACTCGACCAACTTTTTCTCAATTTGGGTTGAGTTTAACCTTTTTTTAGGTTAGAAACTCGAAAATAGAGTCACAACACTACCCTAATAAGATTTTATTTATTAATGTTATGTGTATGATTTTTGTAAGTAATAAAAAACCAACGACTCAACTCAGCTCAAGGTTTGGTTGTGAACTATTAGGGTTGTTCGAGTTACCAACCTAACATTTAGTTCATCAAAAAGGATTCTCAAACCGAACCCGAGTACACCCATAATTAAGATTTATTGACCTACGAGTAACCATCGGAAAAAACGTCTTAATAGAGGAAACAAGCTATGGATGCTAGAGTTGTAGAGGGAAGTAGGGTATGGATTGTATTGTAAGGGGTACCCAAAGGGTTTGGGCTTTATGAAACATGATGACCCCACGGATGTGTTATAGGCAAAGGGGGTGATGGGGAAATAAAGTTGTGTTGATAGTGTAATAATATTCGCAGCTCGAGCCAACTTCCAACTGCATTGAGTTTGAGGTCCCTTCGACCTCTCCTACTCTCTGACGGCAACTCTTCATAACTAAAAAGATAAATCCTCTCTTCATTCACCCATTTTCAACCCTTCTTTATTCACTTTCTTTAATCTTTGCCTTTCTCTTTGTCTTTGTCTAGTGTTGCACATAATGCTGTTATGGGTGAAATTAAGATATGGACCACAAAACCCGCCCTATATGACAATAACTTAAAGCGTTTGTTGGTGTAAGACGACTATGACAAGTATTGCTCTACGACAGCTAAATAATAGAGAAGTTCATTTAACTCGTTGAGCCCAACTGGCTAAATTGACCATGTCAATGTTGTTCGGTACTTGGTTTATGGTTGCTAAATAGAGATGTGTCTTTAACTCATGGGAACCTTTTATAATGAGTGAGGAATCCTCGTTTAAATAGAGAATGAGGTAGGGAGTAAGGAGAGATTTTACCTTGTTAGCTAAACGGGGTCGAAGACGAGATTATATTCCCTATTCTCGATCATGTCCAATTTCCATCTCGCCCTACCTCGTTCAATTTTTGTACATATATATTAAATCCAAGGCTGAAAAACTAACTTTTTATATATTTATATTTATAGAATCAGATCGTGGGTAATTGACACTACCCTCGTACTTATCTCTTTGTTAAACATGTAGTCACGACTCGTTTCGATCCACCCTAGCAAGATTCGTGCATGAACAATTGTTGTAGCATTAAAAAGAATTGACACTTTAGTCTTGGCAAATGGCAGACAGGGCATGACAAATGATAAATGGGACGATGAGCATATTAATATTTATGTGCTGTGTTGCTCAAAAGGACATGTACAAAACTACAATCCTTATTAATTTTCTGTATTTGAAATAAGAGAGGGAAATTTAATTTGATCTTCATACAAGTCATTATTTGGGGCAACAAACTCAGTGGTTGATGTTGCTATATGTTGCTGGTAACTGTGGCCGGACAGGGCCACCCTTTGGATTATCTGTTTCCCATTCATTTCAATTATTTACAATTTCCAACTCATTTTGTCCTCTTCTTTACCTTATAAAATTAGATCCTCTTTTCATTTTTAATGAGATTCTTATTAATTTTAATTCAAATCTAAATGCTATATACTTTTCAATATTTTAATAAGGATATACACGTGCTGATTTGAAGAACTCGGAACAAAATTCACAACTCAGCCTATTTTCGAGTTGGGTTGAGTTAGATTATCGGGTTGTTCTCTAAAAAATATATTTTAAAAAAAATCCTAATACATGTTATATTAATAAATAAAGTATCAATAATTTCATCACTAATGTCCGTTCCATACATTAAATATTCATTTCATCACTAATACATGTTGACTGTAACGCTATTTTTAAGTCGATCCAACTAAATTTTTTTTTTGTTTTTAAAAAATTCACCCAAACTCAAAATAAAAAGTAAAAAAATCTAACTCAACTCATGTTAGATTGGGTTTGGTAATTGGGGTTGGTCCAGTTATTGGGTTATAAGAAATATTCATCAATTTTATTAATTTTTTTTAAAAAATACTGTTTTTTTTTAAATCATAGGATTATTTTCTACTTTTTATAACTTTTCAAACTCCGCTTTTATAATTTTAAACAAAATTTTAAAATATTTATAAGATATTTTTTTTATAATTTATTGAAAATTAAAATTCCTAAACTACCCATATATAATATAAAGTTTTGGATTATAATTGTTTATTACTATTATTTTTTAGTTGAATTATGATACCTTAAATTAATTAGTTTGGGAAAAAGGTTCGAATATTGCCAAAATGCCCCTCCATTTGGAATGTGACTCGACGCTCGTGCAGTCTTAAACAGAGGGGGAAAAAATGTAAACGGAGGGATAGGGGGGGTCCCACGGTGTCGAGTGGCGCCCCGTTTGGGCGACAAAGCCAAAGCCAATTAGCGCAAAATAAATAAATAAATAAATAAATAAATAATTGTGGGTAATGGCAAATTCTTTCCCGCCTGTTTTTTTTTTCACTTGCGACAACGGAATGTGTCCACACACCTCTCTCTATCTTCTTTACCTGTATCCCAATACAGTCCCGTTTCCCATTCTTACCCTTTGATTTCTCCCCAAATTCCGAAACTGCCATTCCTTTGTCTTGAGCTTCAGTCCTTTCCCGTCTCTTTGATCGTGCCAACACACGGCTACGTTTTGGTATCTAGAAGACACTGATCGCGCCGATTCACAAAACTTGCAGCCTACCTGTTTGCGATAATGCCTCAATGGGCTGCAACATTCTGGTTTCACACTGCTTGGACGTTACTCCTTTTTAATTTTTTTTCCCCACATATTGCCTTCTCCTTTGCTTCCTTTTTGCTTTTGCCTCTCTTTTGCTCATGATTTTTGTTTGCTTTCTCCACATATACCCATCAGCTACTTGTTAAATTCAGTGCCAATTTATGGTTGAAACTTAGTTGTGTGTTTTGTTTAGCATAATTAGCACTCTTTTCTTGGATACCCACAAAAGGAAATCGTCTAATAATCTCGTTTAAACTTATGGCTTAATTGTCAGCAATGCAGGCAATTTAAGAAGCTGCTACCCATGTTGGTGCCTGCGTTCATCGTCTGTCAGAATTTATGCGCCTAGATTTCTTGAGGTGATTATATTCTGACTCATCAGCTTTAGATTTCCTTATCCGATCCCATATATTTCAGATGTATATCATTTACAACCACAAAAGTAAAAGGGTCTGTGATGGAATCTTATCATGCGGCTATAACTCACTTGATCAAAGGCTAGGAATTGGTTGTGTAGGACCTACATTAGCCTCCCAATCTCATCAGATGTAGTTGACAAAGGGCATCAAAAGCCATAAATACAGAGCATATATCAGCAACCCACGAGAATCCGATGCAGAAACAATGTTGAAGATGACTTCCAACCGCCTAATAAATGCAACTTTTAAGCATTCATTAATCAAACTTTACGACCAAAACAAGCTTACCTCCTCCTCATTATTACCGCTCATTGCATATTCTCTTGCTTTTAGTTTTGTCTGTTTGTTAGGAATGTTTGAAGGCTATTCTCAAGAACAGATTTTGGCATCCAAATATGTTGTTTTGTAATGTGAAGTGGAGGGTTTTGTTGGGGATTTGATGGGGATATGAACATATCTTAAATCCTGCCTTTGGAGACCATTTACTATCTTTTTTCTTCTTTTAATAATATTTCTAGATACTTGAAATCAAAGTTGAGGCATAGATTAGACAGTTTAATTTAATTGAATTTCCTGTTAATTTTGCTCTAACATTCGCCTTTTGAGATTTAATAATGGAATGGAGGATTGGGGGAGGCGTACGATGTTGCGTATAAATTAGTGTTTGACTAAAATAATCTTTGTGAAAGAGCCCACCGTAAAAAAAAAAAAAAAAAA